GATTTGAATGAAACACTTTCATTTGAAAGGAAACTGAACAAGCTCTAACCTTGTGTTTAGTTTTGTTTGCTGCAGCACAATATCCTACTGATCCATTGTTATTCAAAAATTGGCCGACTTTTTTTGCCCACCCTCTACAGCACGTTTTTTTTCTCTTTCTTTTCCCCCTTTCATCTCTTGAACAAAAACAAAGGACGTGTGTATACCCTTCAAGTCATTCCACTCTGTGCTAACCTATGACTCTTCCTTAACAGGAGGGATGAACATAGGACGCCTGAATTCTTCAACTTACCCGGGAAACTGCGCCTGTTTTCATCAACACTTCCATGTGCAAAATAAATTCCATCTTTGGTGACAGACATTAAAGGGCTCTGTGATCTGAGCAATATTCCAAGACGTAGACAAGAAAGCGAGAGGCATTGTGCACAGGAATTTTGCCTCTGCGATAGGACACGCAAATGTAATGGACTATAGACCAGCAAGTGCCATTTTATCGAAGAGGGCTGTCTAACTCAGTGTTGCCCAACTTTTTGGGCCCACGGAGTGACAAATTTCCAAATGTTTTTTTTTTTTTTTTGCGGATCGGAAAACTTGAAAAAAACTGCAGCGGACTGGCAAAGTTTTATGAAATTTTTGAAAACTGAAAAAAGTTTTGTTTGAAAGATTTTGTGGCAGGGGCTTGAAAACGTCTGCTTTTTCGCAAAACTTGAATTGAGAACCAATAAAGGAGCTATGGTGGAATTTCTAAAAAAAAAAATTAGAAAAGTGAGCTTGAAGAAAGATTCCGCAAAATAGAAAAATTAAAATAATTAATTTCAGCAAGTGAAAATTTGTCTGAAGTGCTTGCTATAAGAGAAAAGCCAACTTTTACTTTTCATCAGATAATTTGACTGCCATTTCCTCTCAAAATCTTCAGATAACGATAACAGACTTCATTGTTACTTTTCATCAATTTTAAATCGTGAAGAAAATTTCGCGTTGACCAGCAAGAAACTTCTTCGGACAGGCGGTGGTTCGCCAAGGGTTGGCAACACTGGTCTAACTTATATTGCAGTATCCATCATGTAAACAAATTTTTCTTGTTCGCTCATATGGGTTTCAAGGAGAAGGTAACTCGAAGTGGATCAGTGTAGAAGCAAAACGTCATTCACGACAATTAGGAATTGTACAAAGCAAAAAGCATGATACATTTACAGTATTTGTTCACAGGACTCAGTACTTTGAAACCTGGACACATTTTTCTTTTACGAACTCAGGGATTTCAAGCTGGGATAAATTGGAGTGGACAGTGGAGAATTGAAATTTCATTCAAAACAATCACGAATTTTACGAAGCAAAAATCATGAAAGATGCGTTTGATAAGAGAATTCAGTGCTTCAAAACCTAGGCCAGTTTTTTTTTTTTTTTACACGAAAAAAAACGTAGGGATTTCATGGAGAGGTCAATTTTACTGGTCCATAGAGAAACAAAACGTAATTCAACACTATCACGGATATTTACGAAGCAAAAATCATGAAAGCTGTGCTTGATAAAAGAGCTCAATACTTCAAAAACCCGGGTAAAATTTTCTTACACGAACGTAGGAATTTCAAGGAGAGGTAAATTGCAGTTGTCAGTTGAGCAAGAAAATTTCATTCAATTAAATAAAAAAGTTTATCAAAGCAAAACTCATGAAAAATGTGTTTGAGAAAAGAACTGAATACAGTGAGACCCCCACATGCGGACACCTCGACCTGCGGACAATTCGACATAGGGACACTTATTTTCCCAGAAGAAAATCAATAAATAAGTCCCGACATGAGGACAGTGACTCAACACAGGGACATTTTGAGATAAAATTGCGAATACATTTCAGGCCAAATTACAAGAAACAGATATTTCCAACCCTAAAATTGATTACTTGGGGACACTCTTGATGCACCAATTACGTCGCATCTAGGGGTCTTCAAAACCTAGGAAAACCCCAGGCGATGTCAACTTTAATTATCGGATGAGGGTTAAGAATCACTCACGTAATCAAAGAGTTCTCAAGCGAATCAATTATGAGAAAAGAGAATCGTTCATCGTACTACACTACTGCAAAACATTTCTTTTCATGGAAAATCGACTCCCTTCCTTCGAATCATGTACAGTACATGTTCGTTGCAGGATTATTTCCGCCCCATTTCCTGTGCCCGTCATTTTCCCCGAATTTTATTTTTCCTCCTCCAAAGGAATGCACGAAAAATAATCCTTCCATTTCGCGAATTATCCAAATAAATTCAAAATTACGGCAGCATCCAAACACTCATCAGAAAGTTTCCGCCATTCGTGGTGGTGAGCATCGCATAGTTTGACTCGTAATCATGAATTTGCTCCTGAAATCCGGCCAAGTCTGTGAAACACGCTAATACTCAAAGTTTTCAGTGCAAACTTCTCATAGAAGAGTAGACTTGTTGAAATCACATTTTATCTCGTAGGTTCGCGGCTCAAAATTGAAACATAATCATGTTAGTTGAAGTTTTTAAATTACTGCAGACATGACATCATTTGGAAAGGAGAAGTCCGGTGATAATGAACCCATTCTGAATTTTTGCAGCGTTGATCCACGAATCAATAAAACCACGCTTCACGGGACCAGCGAAAAAATCTAATCAGACAGGTTCCCAGTTTTGGAAACACGTTTGTTTCCGGAAAGACAACTCGAATATTTATAGGAAATTCAAATTCGTGATGGGTTGAGCCTGAAATTGTTTCTTAAAAGGATTCTAGGGTTGAAGGCAAGGAGACTAATTCGTCCTATTAGTCGTTCACTCTTTTTCAAAACAAATCATTACATTTAATTTCCTGTGCAAAAAAAGAAAATGACGAAATAACAACAGGAAATTCAACTAATGGGGGTTAGAGGGGGATAGCCTTCGAGTTAAAGAGGTTTTTAATGCATGTTTTCAAAAACAATTCAGACAGAGTCTTCGGCTCAAGTTACCAAGGTTCAACTGCAATGTGTTTTGTTTTTCTAAAGCGATCTACAACAAACGCATTAAAGATGGGCTTCCTGCACTTGTTTTCTCAAATGCGAACCCCCTCCCCTAACAAATCTGCCTCGGGCGGATTTCCTTCAAAACATTTTCACATCAATAGTCTGCTTTCATTTCCGGCAAAAGAAATAACATTTAAAAGGGTCGTGATTTCCGGTTGCAAAGCGCTACATCACGACCCTTTTAGTCGTGATTTATATATTAAATATACTGTATTTATATGAGGCGAAGTATCCGTGTTCGACCAGAAAAAAACATCCGACCTGTCCTACCAAATAGAGGGGAAAATTTCGAAAATATCGCTCCAGAATTTTTCGAAGCTTCGCGAAAATATTCCGCCAACTTGTGAAATTGTCAGACAGGGACGAAAAAACAAAACGAAAATCCTCTAAAGCTGAGCCAGTCCTTCAAATCTGAGAAGCGAAGGACTTGAAACTCGACGGTACTTCTATAAACCACGCAGAACATCTGCTTCTCAAAATGTATACCGTAATGGCATCCACAAAACACATTTTCATAAAAGGGTGGGGTAAAATTTCGACCGATTTTCATACAATAAGCATAGTTAAATGGTAAAAACCTCCATAGTATATACAGTACTGTGAATGGAAAACGAAACCTCGAATCGAGCTCAGACAGGGACTGCAATTTTTACTGTTACAGCTCAATCAGCATTATTTTTATCCCCAAGGAAATGGAAAAAATTATTAAGAAAAAAGTGCTTAGTTCTAAATTTTGAAGCATTTAAATGTTTTAGAAATTTCAAAATTACTGATGCATTCCAATTTTTTTCGTCTTCAAACAAAATTAATCATTAAGGTCGATCAGAAGTTGGACAACCCTCGTATATATCGAAAAAATCTTGCTCAACATTTATTAATCACTCAAACTTTTTTAAAGTACAGTAAGATTAGAACTTATAAAATGAATAAGATTTCCCGAAAGAAGAAGAAAAACGTAAGACGACATTCGATCAATTTTTAAAAGTTATTTTTGTCGATGACGTACACATTTTTCACACCAACGCAGATTTAGCCTTGATATCGCAATGATAAAAAGCGGTAATTGGATGCATTCTTCAATTTAATGCAACCTTTGTTTTTTTCACAAAATCAAGAAGTATTTCTTCATTTCGAAAATCGATGCAATTTTGTTTTGAGCACCCCTCTGCTAAATTCTACAAGAAGAGCTCCAAAAATGATCTCTGCCTGACAACAACACACAAATATTACTCCTAATGAGTCTTACTACAAAAACTTTAACCTCTTTAAATAAAATTCCAAGGGACCAGCAAAAAAATTCGAGTTAGTGAATTTTCGAGTTCAGGAAAGAAGCATTTGTGTCGGGAAAATACAGAAAAATTACAGGAAATTAAAATTGTATTTTGGAACTCGTGATATTTCCCCATGTCGATAAAATGATAGCCACAGAGCCTTCAGAAAATTCGAGTTACGAAGATTTTCGGAATTATTCCTTGGACTTAGTTAGGTTTCTAACGCATTGATTCTAAGAAAATTCAGACAGGGAATTGTAGAAATAAATTCGACATAGGAAAGTCTTGGATTTGGGGAGGTTCGAGTTATCGAGGTTCAACTGTATACAAAAGTTTCATAATTTCTGGCTTCATTTCAGGAAAATGCTAATTACAGAGAAAATAGAGACGCATATGAACCATGTAGTGACGTCATCAACAATTCTGCACACTTGCCCCTCCAACGCCTGTCAAAATGGCGAACAAGCTAGAAAGCACGCAGATATAAAAAATAAATAAATCACACAGGCATTTCTTTGCGTTTGATCTGGGCCATACGGACGGCTGTGACCTGTACCAAGTACCAAAAACCGTTCTTGCAAATAAATGTCTCTCTCCAACGACGTCAGAAACGCAGAACGTATACTCAACAAACAAACAAAAAATTGGACAGGAAAGGAATGGGTTCCAAGAAAGATGGGTTCTTTCTGCCACGACGTCATTCATCCCACTCACATCCGGTGATCCCAGTATTTGTAACGTGTGTCCAAGGCAGAGGGTCTCGACCCTTCCACAGGTGGGCTGTCTCTACCAATGATACTGTCTACAATGAATTTCAGTGTAACAGGAATTTTCATGTGGTCCCATAGACATAGGGTTCTCTCCAAATATTATAATGGTTCTCTACAACGAAATTCTCTACCACGAATTTTTTTCTTGTTCCTTTGATTTTCGTTGTAAAGAGAATTTACCTGTACTGCTGGTGGAATATCTCTATAACGAATTTCAGAAAATTTTATAGACTTTTAAAATTTTTATCGCATGCACTTTTAAAATAGGCATTTGGGTAACTGAAAAATAAGGCGCGCATATTTTTCAGCGATAAAATTTTCCCAAATTTTACATTAAAGTATAAGCAGCACATCTTACTCACGGGTAAACGGTACTTGAATAAATACAGTAAAAAGAATACATACCCTTAAATGGGCTTAACACAACTTTTATGAAGTTTTCATTCATTACACATTTATTAATTGCTTCATTATCCTGCAAAGTAGTGAGGTTTATAAACATTCCATTAGAGCACCTCTAGTACAAAGTTTATTGAGCTTTCCGAATTGTGGCGCCCAGTAAATAATCCATTGAATTATTTTTTATAGGGTTCCTTCGACAAGTACTGTATATGTATGGTCTTTTCTTTGATTTGATTATATAAAGCAAATCTACTTTTTCTGAATTTGGCCTCATTCCAAGGGAGATTTGTCTTTCAAAAACACATGTACTGTACATGCACCGAGGATATTGACATTACAGCACAGAGGCAGCTAACTTGCAGAAAAAATGAAACAGACAGTTGTAACATAAAAATCAAGAATTTTCATCCAATCCTCATTCTGAAGCCAGGTAATCATAAGCATCACAATTACTTTGTATGACTAAAAAACGACACAATCCCACGAATTTCCAAATGAAAAATAATTCTTGGAACTGTTCACTTCGCGTCCCCAGGTGATCTCAATACAATTTTAGCATTCTATATTCACATCAAAGCACGTCGTTGTTTCGTGAATTGCCTGCCAGATGTCGCCCAGGTAACATCTTGACGATTCACATTTCCCGACCTGCACCAAAGCTAGGTTTATTAGCCCTTGACACGTAATACAAGTTTAACAGCGTATAACTCGACTCATTTTACCTCGCCTTAATGGGACGATTTCCAAAATTCAGGTCAATGTAATAAAACAGAAAACATGGGGAACCCGGACGTTACGTGCAATGAAATACAGTACTGTATTTTTAACATCCAAGGAGTGAGGATGCTCCAGCTTCTTTCATTTTTCTGCAGTCATAATGTAGTTTTGTACTTTTAAAATTAAATCCCCTTGGAGGCTGGGTAACTGCCTCAGCACTCAGATGTCTCTTGCATCTGGAATATTTTTAATGCAGTTTAAAATCTGCAATACCTATAAATGGGCTTAACACAACTTTTAGGAAGTTTTCCTTCACTACACATTTATTAATTGCTTTATTATCCTGCAAATTTAGTGAGGTTTGTAAAAATTCCATTACGGCACCTCTAGTCCAGAGTTTATTGAGCTTTCCGAATTGTGGTGCCCAGACAATAATCCCTTGAATTATTTTGTATAGAGTTCCTTTGACATGTATTTTCACGGTCTTTGATTTGATTATGTGCAGCAAATCTATTTTTTCTGAATTCGGCCTCTTCCCAGGGAGATTTGTCTTTCAAAAACACATGTACTCTATATGCACCGATGAGATTGACATTACAGCACAGAGGCAGTCAAAAAGATTAAACAGACAGTTGTAACATGAAATCAAGAATTTTCAACCAATCCTCTCTATAAAGCCAAACACAGCCAGATACTCATAAGCATCACAATTACTTTGTGTGACTAAAAAACGACACAGACCCACGAATTTCCAAATGAAAAATAATTCCTGGAACTGTTCACTTCGCGTCCCCAGGTGATCTCAATAACATTTTAGCAATCTATCCACATCAAAGCACGTCATTGTTTCGTGAATTGCCCGCCAGATGTCGCCCAGGTAACATCTTGACGATTCACATTTCCCGACCTGCACCAAAGCTAGGTTTATTAGTCCATGACACGTAATAAAAGTTCTTGTCGCATATTGAGCTGAGTAAAATGGAGCGGAATTACCCTGCTAAAGGTTTTAAGTCCAGTTACATTATTTTGTCTTTTGTACCCCTTGGGCCTGCAATGCACGTTACTTTATGTCATGACATAAGAAGAAACTCAAATGTCGCATCCTGGGTTCACAAATGGGGAAAAATTTGCTCATGGATAAAATGTTTTTTATCACTTCCAATGTACTTTCTATATGGATCCAAGCAAATCTAAATCAATCAAACCTACCTTAAGGGGGATCACAGCTATTTTTATTAAATAAAGTCCACGCGGTACACAGTTGCGATGAATTCATTAAATTCAGTGATAAAGTTTTTTTGTTCACAGCATTGATGCGGACAAGGCACAGTAAAATTCCATCACAACAAATATAATTACTGTATAACGAATTTCCTGCAACAACAATTAGTTCTTCGCGGATATTATTTTTATTCACGGCATTTTCTCCACGGGCCAGGACCAAATGTGTATTTGCTCCACATCATGAAAAATCCAATTTTGAAAAACTCATTTCAGACTGTAATCTCAATACAGTACAGTATATGGAATTCTAACCCTACTCCTGTGCATAGGCCACATGTATCATTTCATAAAAGGCGGAAAAATGGGAACAATTGAACTGGTGAAGCATTCCAAATTCCTCAAAGACGCAAAATTTCCTGAAGAGTAGAAAAAATTCAGTGTTCAAAAATACACATGACATATTTCATAGAAATCCATTGGAATGTACAGCACGCCTTTCTTTCAAATCAACAGTATGCTCAAAGTACTATTTTTTTTATAAAGAATAACAGAAATGAGTGAATCATTTGATTCAGAGGGGAGCATTCTTCCCACATAAATTTTTTTTTTTTTTAAGACAAATGGCACTTATATAGAAAGACTTAGGTTCAATAAGAGAAAATTACTATACTGTAATGTATATTCAAAAATGTTCCTTTCCATTTCATCAGAGACTTGGAAATTACGACAGGTCTTGAATTATCTTGATCAACCCTTTGCAAAAAATGTCCATCTAAAATGCGTTAAAACCATTAATATCGATCCAACGAATGCTCCGTCATGTCCCAGAAATGAAAGTTCGTTTCCGCGAGATTTCACCGTAACTGCTAAGCTTGTCGAAATTCAGATTTCCAGACGAAGTTTGAAGTTCTATCTTCGTCGAAATATAACCCCCAACAGTTCAACAAGAAAAGAATCCACCGGAAGTTCGCACATGTCCCCATGTTAAGCGAGCTGTCTCGTTTCTCGAACCAGCATATTCTTCCCAGCCAACATTCTATTATTTCTTCTATATATTTTTTTTCTGCGCGCGCGAAAATGCGACGAACATCGAGCAAAGGAAGTCAACGTAATGAAGACTCGTTCATCCCCACTTCCGGTGGTCCAGAAGAACAAGAACAGTATTTTCCCTTTCGCCACACTCGCAACAGATAAATTCGGCCCAAAATCATCATTTCACCACCATTCCACGAGAAAAACAAAAATGAAGAGGTTTTTCCTGAGGCTGGAAAAGCTTTCAGACTCACCCATTCCGTATCGAAGAATGGAAGCATGACGCTTCCGCATCCGCTTCGGGTCCGAACTCCATCGTCTAGAAACAAAATGAGGAGCAAACGTCTCAGAAAAATTACGTGGGTCGGAAAAAATGAATTTCTCGAGTTTTCAGAATGGCATCAGCACATTTCCCAACGTCACGAGGGGTGAGAACGTCACCTACGTTTAGAAACTCCAAGCTTCTTCGTCTTGGAAACAGGTCAAAATTTCATGGATAACTCGGGCTACAGTTCAGTGTAAAACGACTCCACATATTCGTATTCGAACGGAATAGAATCAGTATAGGCGACTAAAATACTGTACAAAATTCAAAGATAATAATTCACAGATTGTGATTCACACAAATCGTATGTCTTCATTTGCGAACGAATAAGAGTACATACGAGGGAGGAATCTAACGTCCAACAAATATTTGAGTAGGAATTAATTCAGCACAGAGCTGAAAAATAGTTATTGCTTACGAAAAACATTCCTTGGCACAAGGAAAAAAACATCAGCCGTGTTTGAGATACAGTATTTTTCTCATTTATTTTTTTCAAAACTCACCCTAGCAGCTTCCCACTCTTCAAAGATGAGCCGCCAATCTCGCAATTTTTTTTATGCAACCCAGCTTTCCCTTCAGAATTCTTGAAATTATCAAGGCATGAACTTCAGGGGTTGCCGCCATTTTTATCAACAGCCGCCACTTGGGATGAGAGCGTGGCGGATGTTGATAAAAATGACAGAATTGCCTCAAAAGATCTGAAGGGAACCCTTGGAACTAATGCCATGTATATTTCAAGCATCCTGAAATAGAAGCAGGAATAAGCACAAAAAAAGGCGAGGTATGCGCCTCATCTTTTGAGTGAAGCGCAGAAATTTGCCAGGGTGACTTTTGCAGATTTTTCAATGTCAAATAGGACTGTATTTCGTCACTGCTAAAGAATGTTTTTCTAAATAAATAATTACTTTCAAGCTCAATCATATGTTGCTTCAGCTTCTGTTCCAAGAACTTTTGTCAGACCCCTTGCATAGCATTAAAATGAAAGTCACTTGGCACTTCAGCAGTGATAAAGTCAACCACTGTACACAGGGTGAACATTCATCTACAAAGAAAGTCAAGGAACCAGAAAATCCGTTGTAGAGACCCCTCCCTGGGGAGGGAACCCGACAGAGTAATAAAAAACAAACTCGTTATACAGAGAAAAACTTGGTAGACGAGACTGCTGTAAAGAGAATCCACCCGAATTTCGGAGAATCGAATCTTTTGCAACGCTCGGGAAGTATATAGACCTGCATCGAAGCTTGTCAGGTCGTCGTGGACACATGAATAATACAGTACTTCAAATAAGTTGAGACAAGAGACGACCCAAGAAAATCGTTAAACTCAGTACGTCGTGGAAATTCTGCTAAGAATCCGAAGGACCTCCTTGTTTTGCTGTATATAAAAGCTCATGAAGTCACAATAAGCGAAGAACCAGATTGAAAGTGAAAAGGAATTTTGAATGAAGGCGTATGTGTGAGAGGGAATGAGATCACTAGCGACATCTACCCACACCAAGTCATCGAAACGGAAAACCGCAGGATGAAGCAGTGATCACATTACATATTTATCCGTAGTGCATAAAACCATCTTTAACATCATTGAATCACAATGCTTGATGGTATTCAATGAACATGAATTTCTTTTATGGTCTACTGGAATGATCTATCTAACCAATGTCAGGGAATGAATGGGGGTATGCATACATGTCAGATGTCCAGTAGTATTTCATGTCGTATTGTATTTTCTTTTATTTGTGTTATCAATTGGTGCATTCCTGCTCTGAAGTGTATAATGTCATTGAGTGGATTTGGGTTGGGTGGGAAGGGGGTTCCGTTGTGGAAATCTTGATGGAACCTTGTGAACGCTGAAAAGCAGCAAATAAAGTGTTCTGTTCATTCATTCATTTACTGGAACATTTCAACTCAATGAAAAATGCACTTCCGCACAAATGGAATAAGAACTACGCTCTCTTCAGTGGGTTGCAACGAATTTCCTTCTGGTCCTCGCAAAACGTCCTTCTTCGGGTTGAACTACTGTGATTCAATTTTACGTAGACCGATATTCTTCCAATAATCAATAATAACTCATTCCCGCGAATATAATTGCACGAAATAGCCCCTAGTATTTCATTTCAAGCCTCAAGTCTCCGTGAAAGACGCAAATTGGCTGGATAATGTTTCTAGGGCACTGATATGGGTTGTCCTAATTTCAAGGTAATTTTTGGGAGGTTTCGGAGTCAGCAGTTCAGCGGGAAGAGTCGCGTGACAACATTTTTTTTTCATCAAACGATTTGTGTGACTATTTCATGACACTTATTGAGACTACAGTATAGAACAAAATCATTTGAAAGATAATTTAATTAAGCTTTAATTTGGTTTTTTTTTACATTGTTGCACCTTAATTTTTAACGGAGATATCTTAAATCAAAAATCTGTTCACTTTTTTTTTTAGCCCGCACCTGGTACAGTTCCCACTTTTTTTTTCGTGAACTCTTTCACCAGATGAATATTGTAATTTTTTCATCGCGGGAGGTGTCATCAATGGAAAAACGGGAACCTGGCTAAACCGAGGTCAACAAGATTCGGAATGCGGAAACAAACCTCAGGTAGTGGATGGAGAAGACCAAGAGGACAATGACACTGAAGGTCACCAACGCGAACGCGTACCACGTCACTTCCGACACGACACAACACGACGCTGGCAAGTACGGGACTTCTGAATCTGTAAAAAAAATCAGGGATCCGTTGTTTTAGTAAGGTAGTACTGTAAAACATCATTAGCATTACAATATTGTACTATAATTTTCTGACTCGGGACAATACCGAGATAATATTGCGAGTCTTCACTCGAGCAACATGAACTCCTCCGATTCAGTTGGCTTCCAATTTTCATAAGAAGACGATGATCTACTTGCTCAGAATCTTGAATATCAAGCAAAAATAACTTCACTGCATAATTCCTAGACGATGATGAAGAATGCTATAATAGATTTCAAAATTCAAGACGCAATTCAAATTTCAAGTCGTGACCTGGAATGGTCACGACTTTTTCATTTTTCCGATCACATTTTGAACTTGAAAAATTACCTCGACCTGAATGATACATTTATGAAAGCCTAAATCGTAATACAGGCTCAAAAATGCCGGATGCGCCAGAATTTAATAATCATTGTAAAGCGACGACGTTATATTACTTAACTCGTGTGAAACCTCGTCCAGTGGAATTTCAAGGGTCCAGCGACAAAAATACGATTTAATAAGGTTTCTATAGTTCAGGAAACAATCTCTTCTGTTCGGGGAAAGGAAGAAGCATTATAGGAAATTTTAATTGATGATATTCTGGTCCTTGAATAGCTTCTTAATTGAGTTGATGAGATGCTTGGAGGCCAGGGTTCACCAACCCCATCAGTCTTTCACGTCCTTTTAGAACACATCTGTCACATTTTTTATTGCTTTTATCTTTCCCGTGTCAACGAAATAATAACCTAAACCAAAACTCCACAAGGCCCGGAAAAAATTCGTGTTATGGAGGTTTGCGAAGGAAAGCTTTCGAGTCAAGAAGGTTTTAAATACAATGCTTCAAAGAGAAATCAGGCAGGAATTTGAAAAGAATTCGACATGACGAGTTATTCAGCTTAGAGAGGTTCGAATTACAGTACTGTATTATTGAGGTTCAACTCTATCAGACCATGAACAGAATCATCAAAGCCAAACAAAAAGTCTTGGTTCGTTCATTCTAAATTCTAATCAATCTAAACACGCATTAATCCTTCGTAAAGTTCGTGTTCAAGAGCTAATAGGTTTGCATCCAGTATGATTTTCGATAGCCGATCACACTTGTCAACTTGCCAAGAACTTATACTTGCAAATAATTAATTAACTCAACCAATTTCGAAACGTTCCGTTATTTTTCGACGTAAGAAGCCCAGAAAAAAACGCACATTGGAATCAGTTCAAATATTTATAAATTAAATCAAGATCTTATCATTAATCCAACCAGGATGTGCAGTACTTCCCAGTACTGTATATCCAACACAAGGAAGTACAATATTGTACTAAGTTGATTGTCACGTTCATCTGTAGACGAATACCGTTATCATTTCCTCGTCATGTTTTAGTCGGATAATGAGAGAAGTGAATAATTCCAGAGAAATTGTCAGAGAAAGCTTCGCTATCGCTTTAATGAATTCCTAAACAGAACCTTGAAATCGTTTTGCTTCAGTCAAGCAAAATTTTATTCATACACCCGATATCTTTTCGATTTGGTACTATGGCAATGAATCCAATGATCAAGGCCATGTACAGTATAGTGAATATCAGCTACACCACACGCATGAATTTGCTTCATTTGGTAAGGGAATAAAATGTTGCGACATTGTTCTCTCGGAAATCTTTCACGGGATGAAGGCCTTTTCTAAATACTCAGCAAAACCGTTTTCCACGTTGGGCACAGAAGCGTAACAATGAAAACGGCTTGCACAAAGATAATTACAGTACTGCAGTACTGAATCGGAAGATTTCATATCAGCTATACTTATTCAGAAAACAATACATTCTCACCATTGACTCCTGAAGTATCACGGATGAGCCACGACGCAGATGCATTGATGGGGAGTAGTCGGTTGAACACAGACCACGAACCACTTAAATCTTCCATCATTCACATCCCCTGGAAACTCCCATGAGACACGGTTGGTTACTTACGCAATTTTAGAAAGCACACTTCGCGAAAAGGTTGCCCACACAAACACTCGGAACTCGGAAGTAACTTCCTTTTGATAAGTTCGAACAAGTGAAATAAATAATTCACCTGCAACGACATAGAACACTCGTTACATTCGATATTATTTAAGGAATCCGATGAGACGTGTCAGGTCTATACACACAAGCTTCATCAGTTGTCAGTTTCATAAACTTTAACGAATTCCGACAGAAATTAATTCTAACCCGCGCCTCCCAAATCTGAATTAAAGCATTCCGGATTTCTTTCACACGAATTAAACTTCACGATCATTAAAAAAAAAGTATTTTGTTCGGAAACAATCATGCAATTAACATAATCTAAGATAGTCGTCCAACTTAGTCAAGCCAGAGAATACGTTGAACCCACTTTCGTGGCAAAAAAATATGTAGCTATTCAATGAGATAACGTATATAAGCATGGAAGGCACGTTCGTGAACAATATTTCCTCCGGTAAGTCATCCTTCACATTTTCCCTTTCGCATCAATATATACCACTTCATGATAATTTTTTATGATTCCGGAATTTGCAATGGCACACGGATAACCATGATGGAACAGAACGCCGATCGCAAAAATCACCGCTAAAATCTCACAGCATTGATAAAAAAGGTACAACAGAAGAATAACTTCAGGATATGAAGCATATGAAGAACCACAGTCAAAGTGGGACTTCGTATTTCAATGTGGGTTCCCGAAGCACGGATATGTAGTACGGTTCAGTATCACAAACACGGGTGGTATATTGTAGATGTGGAAAGCCTTCCCTGCTTTCCACTGCTGGAAAGAAAATACTAAATACACCATCTTACACACAAACATTTAGTGAATTTATCAACTTTGCCGATTCCGGCGAGTATATTAACCATATATCATTCACGAAGGAATAACTGATCGAGTATTGTACAGCGGAAATCACGTGTTTCGCGGAACATCACCATGCAGTATATACATTTCCACAATGAGGCGCTTTCAGTATTCACCACCAACCATGAAAGATACAAGAAACAGGCAAATGTCAATAAGGTAAACACCCACGAATAAGTAAATCGCGAGGCTCAAATGTTCCGATATCGCTTCCATGCCTGCGCCGCGCATTCCCACGTTGCGCACGCGGACCAACATAGGGAACTGTTCGGCGCGCCCCATAGGATCCGCGTTGAATATGGACTCCCCTCCCTGTGGGTCCCTCGTCGGTATCGTATTCCTTGAACAGTTTCACACATAAAAAGCAGGAAGGAAACTCAATGAAGGGAAACCTCCCTCGAGCTGCCTTTTCAACTTGTCCGCCTCGGACCGATTTTCGTGGGATTGTCCCTCGTCGGTATCGTATTCCTTGAACAGTTTCACACATAAAAAGCAGGAAGGAAACTCAATGAAGGGAAACCTCCCTCGAGCTGCCTTTTCAACTTGTCCGCCTCGGACCGATTTTCGTGGGATGTGAAGGAATACAATTTCGAATGTATTATTCATTATTGTGCAATACACTTTGAAAATCGTCACTGTAATGAATGCGTAATAATAACAAATGTGCTACAGTCCTTGCATGATGAGAACGTCATTTATAGAGTTTTGATAACGTAAAATCTTGTAACAATGAAGCTTTTGGGAAGTGTAAATACCTTGTTATGAAGAAATATTTTTCATCAAGTAACTCATTTTAAATTGTGCCTATTGGACAATTCCCCAATAACATGGACAGAAACAACTGGAATAGCCATCACAAAAGTTGCACATTCACAACTTGCACCCTGCAACAACTGGGATTGCAACAACTTGAAAATGTTTTCAAAACTTTTTTGTATACAATGTTTTTAATTTATTCTTGGCAGATTTTCCTTGTCTGCAAGGAGTTTGAATGTATGCTGATCTCTTAGAATGCTTAGATGGACAGCCAGGGAGCCATTCTGTTTCCATTCACATGAAAGTAATGTCAATATCACAAGAAATCCAGGAACTTGAACCTCTTCTGAATGCCAGCAATCTGGAATATCACCTAAACAAATACCAACATTACTTCATCTGGTATCCTCAGAGATATTCCTTGGATTGCTAAAATTAAAACAGATACAGATTTTGAAATTGAATACATTGGCAACACAATAGGTATTTGCACCTGTGGTACAATTGAGTGATTTTTCATTGCCATGGCTCAATTTTATACTGATCTATTCCAAGTAAAAAATTGGTTCCCTTTTTTTGGCCTGCCCTGTATTCCCAAAAATTAAGCTATGAAGTTATCATCAAAGGTAGTGAGACATTTTTCAATCTTCTGAAAATATGCATGGATTCCTTTCAAGATTTTCAGAATTCCTACAAATATTTTACTAGATTCCAAACAAATGAATCCCAAAGCTTCTCATCATGACAATTTCAAAATAATGCAAACAAAGGAATTCCACCTGTGAAAATAGGCCAAATTGCAGAATAAGAGAAGAAAACCACTTCAGTTATAAGAGTGAAGGACACTTATTTGTTATTCTGATGCCTCAGGTTTTGGGTGCCCTGGAATGGTATAAAAAGCAATATTTGGAGATATAGAAAAATGTCTGTAGGCTTCCATGAGAAAACACTTTCCATTGATCAGCAAGAAAAATACAAATGGCAACATTGAACAATCCCCCGTAAATTAAATCAGCTTTGTTATACTGAAAAAATTACAGAATTTGACTACATCAGAAACCAAGTCCAGTTTTGGAATATTCCCCTTATGAACACATGCCACTGTGGAACCCCAAACAGGCATTGGAGATGCTAGGTTGATAACATTTGAAAGGGGTTCTGTTTAGGGAATGAAAACCCTGGTGCCAGGTCATCCGCCAGTTGGTCAATTCACGGTCACGGACCCACCAGCCATCAAGCGCCAGTTGGTCCAACTGCCAGCCAGGGCAGTCCTTGGTCTCGCCAATCCCCAGCCCACTGAATGGCGGTTTGGTCACCCAATTGTTGGGGCACTCAAACAATTGGGTGACAAGAATCATGCTGATTCTTTCCGGAATTTGGTTAGCAGAATGGTATCCTACCACAGATTATTATTTTATTTGCAAAATTGCAGCTTATAAAATTTTTAACAAAAAGAAAAAACTCATCAATCCCAACCAAACCTAACCTAACCAAACCTAACCAAACCTAACCAAACCTAACCTAACCTAACCTAACCTATCCTAACCTAACCTATCCTATCCTAACCTAAACTAACATAATATAAACTGACCTAAACTAACCAAACATAGCTGAAATTTTGCAAAAAATAATATCCTGTGGTAGGATACCATTCTGCTTATCAAATTCTGGAGAGAATCAGCATGATTCTTGTCACCCAATTGTTTGGGTGCCCCAACAATTGGGTGACTGGACTGCAGTTTGGTGGGCTGGGGATTGGCAAGGCCAAGGACTGCCCTGGCTGGCAGTTGGACTGACCGGCGCTTGACAACCGGCGGGTGCGCAACCATGAATTGACCAACTGACGCCTGACCGGACACTGAAAACCCTTGGGTACAACAAGAATTGAATGAATATGTTTATTCTTAATAAACCCAGTTTTGCAATTGACATGCAATTTTTATATGCATTCTTGATTAATGATTTTCCAGAGGCCCAGTAAATTTTCAAATCCCGTAATTGGAATCATGGTGACATACAGAGGATGGGAAGAACAACATTTAAAAGCAGTCACTTTCTCTTTGACTTATTACAATTTTTTGTATTATTTGAAAGGGTGGTTTGGTTGTGAAAATCTTGATTGAACCTTGTGAATGCTGAAAAGCAGCAAAATAAAGTGTTCTGTTCATTCATTCATTCATTCATACAATTCTTTTGTTGTATTTGAATTTTTTTCTGGAATACTTATGGAGTTTCATCTTTCTAAACATTAGGGTACAGGAGAACAATTTATCTCAGTACTGTATTTGTTTTTCCTGAACTCCTTTTTGCACTGCTACCCAATAAACCAACACCCTTGTTAAACAGCCAAAATCATGCTGAACAAACATTGTCCCAAATTGTTCCAAACTGACATTTACTTTCCATGTACCGGTGTATAAAAAGAACTAGTCCTAAGAATATAACTAACGTTAACTTTTGGTGACCGTCTACACAGGACGGAGACATATGTCGTAAGTTGCTAGCTTCTTATTTTGTTTTAGCTCTGGAAACAATTTTTGGACTACTGTGCTAATATGGAATAACACAATTTAGTAATCTAGGCAGCTACTAGAGAGAAGACTTTTTCTTACAATTCAAATTTTCGATTCGTTTCTTGTGTTCCATACTCAACCTTTTGGTCCATATTGCATTAAATATTATGCTGGTCTTATCTTTTCTTGAAGTGACTGACATAGGACACCCTCCCGCAAGCGTCACAGGAATTGACAAAGTATGTAAGCCTTCAGATTGAGGCGATTTGGTTCATCCTTGTCAATGCCGATCGCCCCTTTCAAAAAAAGATATTTCGCATGGGAAATTAACTTCTTCCCCTCCATCCGGACGTCTTGCACAGGCGGACAGATACACTTTCCTTCCCGGAATGAAGGGGCGTGTCATCTCCAGCATGTGGCATTCCCCTTAAGATCAGGTGGCAGCCGCATGGTGACCAGGAGTGAAGCTGACCTTGCGACGGTCCTTCCAAAGAGTGGCTGCTGCTGTATAACAGTGTGTGATGTGTGTACCAGGGCAAAAGCCGCCACACGCTGCACTCATATACTGTAAACAATTACTGTGCATGTACAGTGCTTGCACAATGCACCATTGTGAAGATACCTTGCACTCCATTTCATTCACGGGACCCGACTCTTAATCTGATCTTATCCATCAGCCCTTTGAAGTACCGCGGCCCAAAACTGGTTCACCACTTTACTGTTCAATTTTTGGTTTTGCGGGGACCACCCTCGAACACTATGGTGGGAGACGAATGCGGATTAACCAACAACATCAACCATGGGTAGAACGATTGGATATAATGGGGTAAAGATGATGCAGAAGAGGTTTAATTGGTGTTTTAGGTGATATACAGTGTGGATTCAGTCATTAGGTTAGGTTTAGTAAGGTTCCATTTTAGGTTAGCTGAACATAGCTTAGGTTACGCTTGTTGGGGAGCCAATATGCCAGCCCCAACAAATAACCATGTATGCATACATGTTGGATGTCTAGTTGTATTTAGCAGAGTGTGTTCTCTCATTTGTTTTTGTCATTGGTTTGTCCTTTGTTTCATGCTTTGAAGTGATTGAATGTCTTTGGGGGGAGTTGAATTGGGTTGGATGGGGAGGGGGTTTGGATGCAGGAGTCTTGGTTGTGCCTTGTGAATGCTGAAAAGCGGCAAATATAAGTGTTCTGTTCATTCATTCATTCAAATAACCAGTTGTGGATTAATTGAGAAACATACATAGGATAAATAAAAACATAGTTCTAAGCCTGACATGGGTGCTTTCAGATTCATTGCTGTAAAAAAAATCATCAAATCAACAATCTTCACAATGTGAATCAAAATAACCATGCCATGTTCAAAGCAAACATAGAGATTTGTTGAGAGGTATTTTTATTCAAATATTCTAAATTGTCTAGATCAGATTTAAGAGTTGTTTGATAGTTAAAGTCTGCAATTAGCATAAAATAAAAATCAGAAATGTCACAATGCAAAAAATGCATGGAAATCTGGGATGCAGAACCATTTGCAGACTTAAATTGTCTCCTCTCTGCTGGTTGATTTTACACTGGATATTTTAAAAACTCAATTTACAATTTGCAGTGTGGTTCAGAGGCAAGGTTACTTTTGCTTCAGGTTTGGTTATAAAAGATGGAAAATTTGGTGCATTCATTTGATTACAATATGATCCCAAGTAAGATGTGTGCTGTACCTTGAGTTTTGGTTTGGAATTTGCTCAAATATGCATCCCCTCTAAGACACATGGCCCAATTTTATAGGTGGTTGAAGATCTTTTTTTTCAGTAATGAAGCAAATCAAAATAGTTCCTAAAGAAATACTATATGTATAACAATCATTTTGAAAGGATTTTTGCAAAACAAATTCCAGGTTCATCTTTTTGACCAACAGATCATTCATTATGGTTTGCACTACTGATTCAAAATTGTTTTCATCTAAAATTACGTGGCCATACCAAATGCAACCCAAGTTTTTGCTTTAATTTTTAGGGAAGGTGTGCATGTAAATCGGGTAAATTCAGCATTAGTAAGGTTTCTAAATCAAGGCCCTTCGAAGTAATATAAGTTTGAACCTATATCATGTCCCCTTCAAATCAAGAGCAAAAAATCTGGAGAAGATAGAAAATGAAGATGGAAATGGAAATCTGAGAAAGATGGCTGCTTAGACGTGTGAACTCCAGAAAGTGGCCATTAAAAGTACCCATTTTATGATTAGTAGCTCATTTTATAGATGTCGGATACTTTTTTTATTGCCACTTTCTGGAGTGTACATGTCTAAGCAGCCAATCAACTCAAAACACGACCTGCTTACTCAAACAAGCAAAAAGAAGTTTCAAATGGAAGTGAATAACAATATGGGGAAATGTACTCTTCACTCCAGGTTCAGCATTCTGTGAACTCATTTATCCACTAGCTTCTCCATACCTTACAGTGGTTAAAAACGAAGGACGTTAAGAAGTAAAAGGGGTCGTTCATACGATCAACGACACTTATTATTCTAACCTTACAGTTCAAAAATAACAATAGACGAGACTTAAGACGAAGAAAAGGTTTCACTATAGAGTGAAACTATAGAGTTCACTATAGAGTTCACTATAGGTATAAAGTTTTTGACAGGTAGGTAGATGGTATGTAAAGTACCAGTGGTGATACCAAACCTACGGACTTCAGACTTGTACATCTGATCTCATAACTACCTTTTTTTTAGTATAAACAGACGAGGTAAGAACTCCAAATTGTGGATACTCTATTTCTATTTAATTTAAAAAATGTGAATGCCAAAATTTGAAAATTTCTCATTATGGTGCTCTGTTGGACCTTCCGCAGACGCAGTTCAACGATTTTATTAAGAATGAAGTAAATTCTGAAGTTCAAGGAAGCAATACTGTACTGCAACAATCGGCAAAAAATAATTGCCCGGTGTGTCTGATCGGTTACGACTTTTATGTAAAAATTAAATGTGTACCATTAAATTAAATTCGTTACAAACACTTTTTATCATTGGATCTTGAACTTATCTTATGAATGTTACCGTACTATAAACTTTCTTCATTTTTCATCTTGGTCTGAAAAGCTCAGGTTTGAAGTGCATATGCATGTACTGTACTTGTCTACTCTCACCTACATCGCAACTGAGGTTTTTCAGTTGGTTTTTATTGGGTCAAGAGGTGGATTCAAGAATTTCAATAACCAAGAGCTTCGAGTTTCTGCCTAAATCCATTTTTTTTCGTTGTTGAGAAATTTGACCAATTTTACCACATGACATGTACTGTACGAGCTATTTTGAAGTCTGACACGCGGTTCATCGTTACATATCCGAAAACTTACCCAATGAATTTTTTTCCGTCTCAGTTTGCATGATGTTAAATTCCCTAGAACTCTGAAAAATACCGAAAACCCATTGCAGATCATAGTATTATATATCGACAACATTCACATCCAGTGAACAGCGCACGGCGTCCACGATTTCTCCTAAGTTGGTAATACATATTTTCTAAATGGTGAACTTTGCCGAACGGTTCCGGGATGCAAAGTTTTAAATTTTGAAGACTGCGACATCTATTTAAAACAAAAATATATAGAATAAATCTTGCAGAGAACGCATGGAAGATGACGATAATAGCGCGTCCGAAATTCCATTGAACCAGTGAGAAAATCGCATTTGTTTTGAATCGGTGATGCCTCGTTGAACGCTGCCCAGTCAAAAGTATTCGTTTCTGAGAAAAGCAGCTCCATGGGTCCAACTTTTAATGTGTCATATACTTCACTGTGCACACTTAATTGGTTGTGAATTCAGGTGTGATCCAGATTTTTAAGTTCTCGCTTACTTCCTGTTCTCAAATCCTGGGTTGATAAATGCTGTAAGTTCTCTTCGAAACCGTGAATGACAGTGAAGGTTAAGCAGTCGGAATAGTGAGACACACTTGCGCAGGTTGTCATTCAAGTATTAAATAACCCGTACTCCTTCGTACCCAATTATTTATTTTAACCGAAACCGATCTTTCATTGTTACTTATACGTATAATTTATCAAGGTGTTATACCCAGGACTTATGTCAGAAAGAAGTTATGTTATATTCAGATCCAAGATTTTTTACTGCTCGAGGCTTTGAAACGAAGTAACATTGAAGGTTTCCGGAATAAACCAAAAATATGGCTCCATCTGATAGGAATTCAGATCATTGGAATGTTAAGCGGGAAAATGAACAACTCGCTGAGGTGAATTAAATATAATTTGAGTTTGATTAGGTTTCGTTCGAGATATGTGAATTTCAATCAGCACAATGAAGAATGCGTGCATTGATTGACATATTCATCGCAATCATTCGAGTGATTGTAGTTTCCAGAGCATCAAAGGTGAAAATCGAACAATGTTCAAATTTCCCGATTTTATGTTTTTTAACAGCCAATTGATTATGCGGAAAATCAACAAAACGACAACAGCCAACCAGAAGAAATCCATGAGCTGTCATTGGAACGAACAAACCATCAACAATTATTCAGGAATGTTGAGCTTCAAACAACGATCATCAACAACAGGGAACGTTTATTTCTGCCAATGATCAATAATGTGAGATCTTGCGTTTTTTTCGTTTTTTTTTTTTATTTTCTCTTTTATGAGAATAACCTAACCTCAGAGTAAGCGTTTGAAAAATGATCGAATGTAATGATAAGAATTATTTTCAGCGAAAAGTTGTGAATATGAGTCACGTTAAACCATTGTAATGCATGTACCATTTATTAAATGATATATTCAGCTTTCAACATATACAGTGAGACCCCCACATGCGGACACCTAGACCTGCGGACAATTCAACTTAGGGACACTTATTTTATCTTTAAAAAATTATAAAATAGGCCTGACATGAGGACACTGACTCAACATAAGGACATTTTGTAATAAAATTGCAAATACGTTTCAGGCCAAACTACAAGAAACAGATATTTCCAACCCTTGAATTGATGTAAGAAAAGTTCTTTGGCCTTTCTCTCACCAATTTATCATCTATTTAGCTAATATAAAAAATTACTTCCAGCAGAGAGGGACTTCCTTCTCTCTTTTTCACTTGAATGTT